GGGATAAAGGCTTGATGTTGTTGTTGTTGTTGTTGCAAAATAATACAAATTTTACCTTAGTATTAAATAATAAAGGATAAAATCAAGGAACAAAAATGAATTGCATCTATTAATTTTCCCATGTGATTTAGCCATTAAATTAACTAATTAAGTATAATTAGAGCCTAATCCTCATAATTCATCATAATCCCAAGGTTTTCTAGACTTTGTTGTGTATCTGATTTGCAATTTTTTTAGTCTTTTACATTTGCTCATAGCCAACTCTATCATTTTGGCATGTCTACATTCAAAGAACTCAACAAATTTGTTCATAGACTTGTAAAAAAAGAAAACATAAAACAATAAATTAGAAACAATAAAATAATAGGTAAAGAAAATTAAAAAAAGTCATGAAGGAAATAAGAATACAAACTTGAGTTTGCCTCAAGTAGGGCACTTTGAATACAAATTTCAACTTTCACTCAAAGAAAATGTTATTTTTGTTGTAGGACTACTTGAATTGTTCAATGTAGATGATGCACCCATGTTTTGAAGTCAAATTTTTATGTGCTTGGAAGTCAATTTGTAGTCAACGATATTTTTTATGTGCTTGGAAGTCAATTTTCAATCTTTAAATTCATAATTCATATGAAATTCATTATTGTGATTGTATTTAGCTGATCATATGAGGATGGAAGCATCTAGAACTCAGAGTGCAGCTTCAAGTTGTAGTGTGCGTGAAAAGGTGGATATTACGTGGAATCATTTTAGTGAGATTAAAAGAGCTGAGGGGAAGAGACAATTCAAATGTTTGCATTGTGGTATTGTGTACAAGGGAGGAGGAATAAATAGAATGAAACAACATCTAGCAAGAGTTAAAGGGAATATAGCAGCATGCAAGAATGTTCCACATGATGTTAGATTTCAAATGCAGGAGAACTTAAAGGATATTTCAAAAAGAAAACAACAAGTGCAGGAGGAGTTAGAAAGTACACCATTTCCAATAGATGCTAAAGTAGACGAAGGAGGGAATTCTTCCTCCCTACCTAAATCCCAATCCTCTAAAGCATATCTATTAGAACTTGCTAAGGGGAAGAGAAAGCTTGTTGAGATTGACACTTTCTTTGCTCCAAGAACAAAATCAAGTTCACAACCTTCAATCAAAAGTGTTTTGGCATCTAAGGAAGCAGTACATCGTGCTGACCTAGTTGTAGCAAGTTGGTTTTTTTATTGTTACATACCTTTCAATGCCTTAAATTTACCATATGCACAGAAAGCTGTGGATGCTATAACTACTATAGGTCCTGGATATAAGCTTCCATCTTACCATAATATGAGGGTTAACCTACTTAAGGATTGTAAAGAGGAGTGTAGGTTACTCATTGATTGCTATAGAAATACTTGGAAGGACACAGGATGTACTCTTATGGCGGATGGATGGACTGATGGAAGGAGTAGAACATTAATAAATTTTATGATTTATTACCCCCGTGGTGTATCTTTTTTGAAATCAGTGGATGCATCAGATATTGTTAAGGATGCTACAAACTTGTGCTCATTATTTAGTGAAGTTGTTGAGTGGGTAGGGCCTGAAAATATTGTTCAGCTTGTTACCGATAATGTTGCTAATTACAAGAAAGGAGTTGAGTTCTTACAAGCTATATTCAACAACATTTATTGGTTGCCTTGTGCTGTACATTGTTTGAATTTAATTTTGAAAGACTTGGGCAGCATGCCTCTCATAGAGGACAAGGCAAAGAAAGCATCCAAGGTGACGATTTTTGCTTATAATCATGTTTATGTACTTGCTTGGCTTAGGAAAAGGCAAGGTTGGAAGGAGATTGTGCATCCAAGAGCCACACGGTTTGCAACAACTTTCATAACCTTAAAGAGTGTATGTGAGCATAAACATGATCTACAAGCTTTAATTACAAGTAAGTTTTATGCAGATTCAAAGATATCCAAAACCTATAAGGGGAAAGAAGCAGCTGCAATAATCTTAGATTTAAAGTTTTGGAATGATTGTTTAACAATTTCAAAGATAGCAGGTCCTTTGATCAGGTTATTGCGCATTATGGACTCAGATAAGAAACCATCACTTGGTTATTTATATGATGGAATGTATAGGGCACGGAAGGCAATCAAAGCTATGTTTAGAAATGTTAAAAGATTATATAAGCCATCCACCAATATAGTAAAAAGAAGATGGGATACTCAATTAAGACAAGGCATTCATGCAGCAGCATATTTTTTAAATCCTCAATTTCATTATGACTAGGAGAATTACTGTCAAAAGCAAGAAGTATTGCAAGGACTTGTTGAACTTATTGGAAATAATGATGTTTGTCATAAGCCCACACTTGCAATGAATGAGGTTAGATTATTTTGAGATAGCTTAGAAAGTTTTGGAAAATTAATTGCTCTAACGATGGCAAAGGAAATGCAACCTGGTAATTATCTTTTAAATGTCCATGCATGTACCTTTTTTTTTACTTATATGCTTATTTACTAAACTTTATAATATCACATTATGCAGATGAGTGGTGGAAGATGTTTGGATCAAGTGCCCCTAACTTACAGAAAGTTGCTATAAGAATTCTTAGCCAAACATCATCATCATTTGGTTGCGAAAGAAATTGGAGTGTTTTTGAACAAATTCACTCAAAGAGACGCAATCATTTGGAGCATCAACGATTGAACGACTTCGTGTATGTTCGATATAATCTAAATTTAAAATATAGGTATAATTATTTATTTTTTGAATGCAATCAATACATTGTATGTTTGTAGAAATGTCACTGAAATTATTACTTCATTCTTTAGGTTTCAACTAAAAAAAAAAGCTATGATCCTCTTGATTACGCTTGTGTTGAATGGTAGATTTTTGGGTCCTTGATGAGGAATCACCTCCAGATCTTGCATTAGAGGAGTTGGAAACTGAGATATACGAAGAGGCTTCAATACATGTTGTTGAAGAAGCAAATATTGCATCCACTCAGCCTACACCTGGTAAGTTAGTGAAATATGAACATATTATTTAAGTAAAATAAAAAATACCCATTAATATTTTCAATTTTTTTGTGAAGATGAACTTGAGAATAAAGGAGATGGAGATGACATTATGGACTTCAATGATTTATGTGCATTTGTGGCTGCAAATTTTGGTGAAGCGGGACATGAAGACTTAAATTATGAGGATAGCTTTCACGATGCAAATTAGGTTGTATCTGATTTTCTTTTTGTGGAATTAATTAAGAGAAACATTAGTAACTCTATATATGTATTATGAATGTGTTTTTCTTTTTCTTTCACAATGCACCCATGTTTTGAATGTTTTTGTGCTTGGCATATCAGTGCCAAATTGTAGTTTTATACTTTTATTCAAGGTTATGAATTGAATGTTTTTGTGCTTGGCATATCAGTGCCAGATTGTAGTTTAATACTTTTATTCAAGGTTATGAATTGAATGTTTTTGTGCTTGGCATATCAGTGCCAGATTGTAGTTTTATACTTTTAAGTTATTAGAGGAAAATGTCTAATTCATTTTATAAATTTTATAATATTAATATATTATTATTTATTACGTCAATCGGTTTGACCTCAGTTCGACCGGTCGAACCGTGAACCTCTCCTTCGTCCGGTTCGTTGTCCGGTCTGTTTTTCAAAAGCTTGTGTTTTTCAAAACCTTGTTTAATATAGTAAAAATATAGTAAAAGCGCAACAAAAGCGTATGAAAAGCGCAGGGAAAGCACAACAAAAGTATAGTGAGAGCGCATCAAAAGCACGATGAATTACACAATATTGTGTTATTTTCTAGAAAAGTTTTCTTACCAATTTAATTAATAGGGAAAACACTTATAGTAGCATGATTTGAACTAAAAAAATTTGATTATGATAGAGATTTATAAACTATGCAATTTTGAATTGAAAATTAAAATTGACGTAGTCGAAAACACTGAATACACAGTAAAAAAGTATATAAAGCGTAATAAAAACACATAAAAAACATATTGGAGGTGCAATGAATTACACATTGTATTGTTATTTTCTAAAAAATGTTTCTTATAAATTAAATTCATAGTGAAAATAGTTATAATAAAATGAACTGAATTAAAAAAATTTGAAAACTAAATTTGACGATAGTCGAAAACACTGATATGCAACAAAAGCACGGTGAAAGCACATCAATAGCATAGTAAAGCGCGGTGAAGGGCAATGAATTACATATAGCATTGTCATTTTCTATAATTTTTTTTAATTTAATTTATTGTGAAAACAATTATAGAAAAATATTTTAAACTAATAAAGTTTAAAAATTAAAATTGACGATTGTCTAAACCACTCATTATGCAGTAATAATGTTGCAAAAATACACTAAAAGTATAGTGAAAGCTCATCAAAAGATCAGTGAAAGTGCGTCAAAAGTGTAGTAAAAGCACAATAAATTTTACATTGTTTTATTATTTTCTAGAAAAAATTTCTTGCACATTTAATACATAGTTTAAAAACATTACTAGCATGAACTGAATTAAAAAGTACTGATTTTATTATAATAAATTTAATAAAATATGTGAAACTCCAAACTATCACTTACAACAAAAATTTGTTTCGAGGGTGCTGCCCCTATAAACCCCTACACGGGCACTGCCCCTTGACCCCATGACCTGATCAGGTCGAACTTTGCCAGGGTACGCAGTGCCTCAGACCCCCGACATATTCCCTAAATATAAAGGAAAAAAACTACTATTATGTCATGTTATAGCTCTTTTAACTTCAATTCTTTCTCTTTTTTGGTGTTTTCATACTGCCATTTAGGTTTCACATTATGTATTATATCTTATGCTTAAAGAATTAATGTCCTCATCCAAATCATTCTTTATCTTCATTGGCTTTTCTTCTTCTTTTCTTTCTCAACAGATATAAAAAATTTAATGAGCAAAAATCTTTTATATTAGAGAGCATCCGTGATTATTTTCATTTTAAAAAAAGAGTGCCAAACCTAAAACCTAAATTTGAAGAGGATGCTGAAGCTCTAGAACGAGTTTATCTGGGCAATAAGATAAAAATTAAAATGAGATTAAATTTAAATATCCACATCTTCATACTAAATTTCTTGATTTAATTGGAGTTCAAATGTTGAGCTATGTCCGGACTCCGCATAGAATAATTTCTCCATAAGAAGAATCAAATGGTTTGGTTGCAATTAAATTTATCCCTCAAACATAAAACTTCATGAGTGAGATTTGATTAGAAGTCTAAAAGGCTGTTTGGAAACAAGTAGGATTTAGTAAATCCTATAAATTTGAATTTAGTAAAACTTGAGGTGTTAAATCCTGAAAATTATCTGGCATAACTTACGTTAAATTCTTATTACAGTTTGGAAAATTATATATAATTAAAAGATAAAGAGCTTAATGTGTCATCTTTGAACGAAAATCCTGCACAAATACATATAAAGAGAGAGGAGTGTGAGAGTCATAAGAGACAAAACATTTTGCATAAAAAACTTTGGAAAGGGGGAAAAACCATAGGGTTTGGCCTACTTAAAATGTTTTCACTTGTGTTTGTAGTTTATTACAAATGGTGCCCTTTCGCAGAGTGAAGGCATTGATTTAATGTATCATATATAACACATTATATATTTATGGTCGGAAGAATCCAATAATAAGGGAGCCATTATCAGTAGAATGTTTACCTATTCATTCGGTTGGTAGGGAAGTAGTTAGGAAAGGGAGATCAAATAGATTATAATTGGTAGGTGATGGTGGTTGGAGTAACTATAGTTGGTGGGCGACGATGGTCGGAGGGAACATAATCAATGGTCAATGGAGGTCCGAGGGACCATAGTCGGTGGGTGATGTGGTCGAAGGAACAGTAGCAGAAAGATGATAGAGGTCAAATGGATTGAAGTTGACAAGTGATAATGGTCAGAGGGACTATAGTCGGTGAGCGATAGAGGTCTAAGGGATTGTAGTTGAGGGCGAGGGTGGTTAGTGGAACCGTTGTTAATGGTCAACGGTGGTAGAAGGAACCATAGTCAGTGGGTGAAAAAGGTCGAAGGTGTTACAGATCTGGACCCAAGTACTGTGATTTTGATTATAACATACATTATTGTTTATTGACTACTGTCATTCATGTATATATATTTTATGTGCCCAGCTCATTAACCTTTCAGTTCCATAAGTTCGCTTGGAACGTCAACCAGCTCAAGATGAGGTAGACTAGGATTGAGTCAGTCTGTAAATTCTATTTTAATGTATTTTTATTTTTTCTTGAGTCAAATGTATCTTGGTGGATCCTGAAGCTAAGTAACCTTGCACATACACGCTTAGGGGGAGAAATTTAGTGAGTTAGAGTATTTTTTTTTTTATTTTTGATCATATCATACAGGACAATTTTATATCATCCTAGACGATCAATCAAAAATCGAAACACTAATTAGGGCATATGGGTCATATAAACTTGCTTAAGCATATCGTACTACGTGATATGCCCATCATCCTGAATGATATGCTCAAATCATAAATACTAAACTTCCAAACTCATTTAGGCAAGATTTTATTTTTAGAACTTTGTTCTAATCATACAGGATAATCCCATATCATCCTAGATGATTCATTATAATCATGCCTAAATTATTCATATGATTAAGGAAAGTAATCAATTTGGATTCATGCCGGGTAGGTCGACTATGGAAGCCATATATTAATTAAGAGGTTTGATGAAGAAATATAGAG